ATAGAGTGGTGCCTGGGCTACCTGAACGTACAGGAGACGGAGATCTGCTACTGCATTGGCTGCCTTCTGTGCCCCCAGTTTGAAACCCACTTACGTAGCTCTTCTCAGACTTGGGGGATACTCCAAGAAACATCCACGTGGAGCAGAGACCTGCTGCAAGTAGGGATTGGTGTGGGAATAGGATGGGGATGCAGCAGCACAGAGAGGCAGGAGGGAGCTCAGAGAGGGGCTGGCAACACAGAGAACAGGAGAGGTGCCCTTGACTGCCGGGAGCAGTGAAAAATTGTCCTGGCGTGTGTTCACCTCAGTGCAACTTCACTTAAATAGATTAAATCAGAGTCTCGATCTCACTGAGTGCCAAGGGTGCGGCAGTCTGTCAAGATGACAGTAACAACTGCCTGGTGGTTTTGCATGTCCGCTGCAAGCCCCAGTCCCACCAAAGATGAGAGCAGCCCGGGTCCTGCTCAGATCTGTGCCAGCTGACTGCGCGCTGGACTGCACGAGCAGCTCAGAAATGGCTCGGTCCCCCCAGAGGCAGCAGCGAAGAGTGTCCAGCTACAGTTGTCTGGAGGCTCCCTTCAGGCTGGAACTCAGTATAGCCTATATCCAGGTCCTTTACACCTCTTGAACAGCCGAAAAGCATGAATGCCAATGATGAAAATAGGTTTCATTATGTTATACTCATGAGCGTTGTTAATATTCCCAAGAGTATTCTCTTCTAGCTGCTTGGAAGCATACGTCACCAGTTCCATAAGGAAATACGTCATGAATCATTGGTATATATTGTGATTGGAGAGATATAAGGCATAATAAAATACCAGAAGCTCCAAAATGAAAAATGAATTTTGTAATGGAAAAAGCGCAGGTACTATGCAGCATTAGAAATACCACTTTTCCTTTTAAATTTCCATGCTCTTAAATGTGAAGCCAGAGAGCATTAAGCAAATTAAATACATGAATTAAAACTGGACACAAGAAACTTTCTGTGCTTGTATATAATAGCAACGGGAATTGAAAATAATGATATAGAAGTACACGTGATTGAGTGTATCACCAACATAATGGAGATATTTCCTTTTAATTTTTAGCATATTGTCAGCTTTGCAATCAGTATTACACTTATCACTACAGGAATAAAAATCATTAGAGCAAATAGTAAGCCAGTGTCCTTCACCACACATATAAGAATACCAAGAAGTAAAAATCACAGAGGGAAGGCGAGACAATGTTAGAACGGACATAGAAAATCTTAAATAATGACTTTGTAGGTAATTTGCATCATTCTAGCTGTTCATGTCAGTGTAAAACATGCAGTGTTTCATTGTTTCTGAAATAAACATTTCGTGAGAATTTCAGCTCTCTGAGTTTATAGACACCACTAGGGAATTCTTCATTTCTGACAGTATTATTTTATGTAAATGCTTTTCCTTATTCACAAAAAGGAATTATCCTCCCATTGAAACCAGCAGACTTCTGAAATAGGATTAGGCTCTGATTTGCAAAACAGTATCGGAGGATATGTTGTACCAAATCTAAACTATGCAGATACAATCATATAACAGCCAGAAAGCCACTGGTTTCAGTAGGCTTACCTTCCTGAAGTCAGTGTGAATTGGAAAACAATCCTGAAAAGATTGCAACACATTAGGAATATAAATTTATCATAAAATTCAGTATATTTTTAGGATTAATTTTTGCAATGAACTTTCAAAACGGCACAACTTATTTGTTATCTGGCAGAGAGACACTCAGGATAAAAAACCACTGGCTTAATAGCTCTTAGTCAAATCTTCAGGTCTCTTCAGAAACTCTACAAAACACTTGTAATGAAACATAAGATTCATAGAGCTGATGTTAATTCATTCCATGTATTTAGCTAAATAAAAAAGACAAACACTGGATTCCAAAGGTATTTGCTACAAATAACTTATTTTACAAACTGAGGCCAGGTACCTTCTGCGCAACACTTACGCATACTGCAGCTTACCTTGATGAGACAGTATCATTTGTACGCAAACAGACTTTTTGCCCATAAGCACTCTTCAGTGTTTGTAAACAGCATTGTTACCACCCGTATAAAGGCGGGCTTCCAGGGGGCTGTTGGAGAGCTGGAATACCTTCTTGGACTGTTCCCTACAGCATAAGATAGAGGAAAGAGGAGAAATGAGTACTGAAGGGATTCCTGGATGCAACAAACTTGTATTCTCTGATACTAATGTGCTGCTGCCTGAGGTTTCAGTCCTCTCTGCTGAGCTCTAGTCTGTATGTGGAGAAACACATAACCATAGTCTTAAAGTCAATTGAGTTGCTTTGACTGCTTACACTTGATGATCAAGCGAAGTGTAGGCATACGCATTTGCTGGACCAAGCTGAAGTGCTCGCTATTACCCAGTCTGCAAATCTAAAGATGATATAACTGCAAATATTTGGAAGATGCTGGCAGGCGAAACC